CACCGTTCTGCTTGAAGGGAGCATTTTGCACTTTTAGTTGTTCCTTTACAGACCTGCATTTGGTGAGACTTGTAGAATCCTGTGAAACTGCGATGCGGGTGATCCACTTTGGTCACCGCAGCTTACAGGTTCTAACAAGGTGTTCTGTACAGGCTCAGCGAGTACCATTCGTTGCCCCCAACAGGCCGAACTGCGCCGACGACCGTCCAATGAAGCGCATCCACGGTGACTGGCCATCCAAAATCTGCCGCGCAGCACTACGCCCACATCCCTACGCATACCCACCCTTCAAAGTTGCACCAGTCTGCCCCGAGAAAAGGCGCATAAAAGTGTGGTTATGGTGGTGCCGAACATCGTTCCTGTTATACTGGCAGTGATTTTTTAGTTTTTTTTTGTTGTGTATATAAGCAAGCACTACGAAATTTCATTTTTACAGGTAATCGGTACCGTAATCAATGGCAAACTGATTCCTCTGGTATTTGTGGGTCGACTCACCCATCATCTTCTTCAAATGGGTAGCAGTTTATACGATCATTTTACAGGACGTGAAACGTCAAGATTTATTAATTAATTAGGTCCCATCGCAAATCGCACCGTAACGTCTCGCATGTCACCCAGTGAAAATTGAGTTTGCGATTCGTATTGCGTTTCTAGGTACTTTTTTTACTAGTCATTGCCTTTCTCCTCTCTTACTGTATAATCCCTTGCTCAGTCACCGTAATGATTTCCCCGAATTCAGGATTAGGCGGTTAGGATCAATTGGTGGTGGGGTCTCCTTAGCCCAAGATTCCCTGTAGCGCGAAGGCGTTCATTGTAATCTGGGCGCAATTGCCACCTTACCACGACTAGGGTGGGGGTGAGACCACAGATCGACTTTATCCCAGGCCAACCAAACCTTCCATTCTCGAACATTAGCTTGCCCCGGAGGCCTTTATACAGGCCAAATCGCAGTCAAATGACTTCCTACCCACGAGGGAGTAAGACTATTTCCGAGTGTTCTATGGAAAAGATGAAGATTATAGGGGCCTTAATATGCGCAAAGGGATTGAGGACCACTTTTGACATTGCCATGATTCCTCGCCATGTCCTGAGAATGACCCGCTATACTAGTAAAGGAGAAAATTTCTATTCCTCCCCGAATATTCCACTCCTTTCGTCGCATAAGTAAAGCCTCCTTTTGGCAACGCACAACTTCTGGCCCATCGGTTCAAATACGACCCCCTTACTCCCTTATTGGAGATATTTTATGTATTATCTGCATGATTCCGCCAGCGATTTCTAACCACCTTATTCATCTCTGTGCCCCTTGCAAGCGCCTCTAAACTTTTCGGGGCCTCCCTTAGCCAATGCAGTCCCGGACTAGTGTTCCCGTACCGTAACCTTGTTACCCCTTTTGCCAAATAGAACAGTTCTATTACTTATCGTTTGCATTTCCAGGTTTTTGATGTTTTTTTTTTCTGAAGACACATTCCGCGGTAATCGTATGGGCGGAGACCCATATCAACTGTGTTTTGTCTCATTGATGTCTTCATCCTCTTTCTAAGTCTCACAGATGCTCCCTTTTTTCTCATATGCAAGAGAGCAAGGATACTTTGAGGAAGGCTTAGTGGGTATGAGTGTCCACCCAATTCTCCGCCCACTCAGCCAACGTGGAAAGTGTCTTTATATTTTCATTTTTTGATCTCCTCGAGATACAGTATCTCCTTTCTTGTTGCCTTTTTGCAAAGTCTGCTTACACATTGGACATTGGAATAAGCTTTATTATTCTATAAAGCGATTCACTTCACCTCATTCAACGCACAATTCAATAAAATTATTATGCCTGTTAAAGATCATCAAAAGAAGAACACTTGATGACGTCATCGTTATAATTATTATTATGGGAAAATTAATTTATTATTATTATGTGAAAAATAATAAACTAACTAACACAATACCAAATATTGGCTACCGGCAGTTCAACGCAAGAATCATTCAGGGAAAGGTACGAATAGATGGTACCTGCACACAACACAACAAAATTCTCAACAAAACCCGCACATATCGATTAAGAAACACTTGAACGAGGAATCAATAAGTGCCTAAGGATGGATCGATCAATTACGACGGTCTGTTTGGCTGCATACGATTGAGTTGGCTAACTGCCAAGCCCTACGTATGGTTGAGTACGTGCTGCCAAACAGACCAACTTATCAACAGCAATGCACATTTATCAAGTGAGAGAGTTTCTAGTCGTTTCGTTCGATAGTTTCGGTAAGAATTTGGTCGAGAAGACGTCGTGACAGGCGTCGATGACGTCGGTGACGCGGTATAACCGATAGAGGCTGCGTCTGGGAGGATGACGATGATGACGGCAAGTAGGAAGAAGCAGCAGCTTCAACCAGCCACATGGGCACTCGAATAGGATCTCCCATTTGGGGCAAAAGGAATCGATGAGAACGTCGTGGTGTTGAAATGGGTAGACTTCGTTTTACGGTAGCTGTACAGCATCGAGTACATTTGGACGCATCAGTATAGACGGCACATTTGGCTCCACAACCACAATCAGCCAATGAGAGCGCCACTGTCGCAAGGAGAACGCAAAGAGCGAACGAGCGCATCTGGAAATGGAGAATATTAGTGGGCGGTAACGCTTTGGAGGAAAAGAAGAACTACACGGAGAATTACACGACACGAAAATCGCGAACTGGAAGAAATTGGTGCTACAGACGAATCATACCGCAATAGATGCCAGTGGGCGGAGCCGCAGCGCGGTCGCGATGCGGCTTCCGCCCACCGGCCCAATGGTCCAGGCTTAGTTATTTTCCCATCAGGCCCTATGTACCTACTGGCACTGCGGTTAGATTCGAAAATGCACTCGTTATCACCATCAATGCGGCTCGTAACGGTAAATCTGTGACTCACGCGAGCGGTCGCGTTGCGCTAGTCGCTGCAGCACTAACCGTGCGCGCCCCATCATGTAGCGATAAATAACAGATCAATCAAGAAACGCTTATGGTTTTCGAGAATAACTTTCTGACAGAGATCGGAAAGAGTACTGTACTAAAGCAGAAGTCCACATAATTGAGGAGATGCATATTCGAAGATTTATTCCCAGTAAAAGTTCCTGAAACCTGTGAAAAATCCCATTGTGAAGAACTCAGGGACAAGTTTGGCGTAAGCCCAATAGAAAAGAAAGAAGAAAGGTTAAAAGAAAGCAAGCCACGATGGCCCCTCTTTCCTCAGCGGCCTGCCTCTATAGGGAGTAGACTATTTAACAGGGGAACCATTATGCTTATTAGTCTCCGCCCACTTCTCCGCCCACCCGATGATTGTATAATATGTCGAGAAATGAGATTTTTGATCAAACAACCAACTGCATCAAATCCGGCTGGCTTAGCAAGCTGCTGACATGAAGTTAGGCTTAGAACTCTGCTCCTTAGCAAGGAAAGTAGCCGATAGCTGGCGTCTCATAGCGCTTTTTGCACGATACAGGGTCTAGATAGCGCTCGGGCTGAAGTAGAGACCTCTCTGAGGTATTTGAGTGTTCAACTTGTTTGCGTAGGTGAAAATAATGATGATGATCACGTAATTATAGCACCAAAACAACGTTACAATATGGAATGAAATTCCCTTTTGGGAATTCCGCCCCTTTATTTCCCAGGTTCCTCATTGTGTCACAGGGTAGTACAACTTGTTAACTTTGACTTTTTGATGTGTTATTTACCTTTCGATTCTCCTAGTCGATAGTGGATTCCCACAAACTGTAAGGAAATCAAGTAGAATTTTTCCAGGTACGTACCAAAATTATGACAACAGAATAGAAAGGATCATACCTCAGTTAATTTTAGCAATTTTTGATTGTTTACTGGATAGAGTAACTCGATGATTTTAGCTTCCCAGGGATCAGGAACAAATCATATTTAGTGAGTAATAAATGTTTACAGAGTCATTCCTTCTGGCTCTTTTTTCAATGGTGGGCTCTTGGTCATGCTTGAGGTGATGGTCCACGATGATCGCGTAGGCGGAGCCGGACCCACCACCGTCTCCCTTTGGTTTATCTAACTCCTTTATATCACAGCTTATTATCCAGCCAAAGGGAGAGCGTAGTCATGAGGAACCAAGATACCAAGTGCAGGCTGGCTCCGCCCACATAGTCAGCGTGGACTGTGCATTTGGCATCCATTATTTCTTTTTCCTGAGGAAAGTAACACGAACACTCATCAACATGGTGCGCTAAATATTTGGAACAATCCAATCCGAATAGACGAACAATGAAGTAATTCGCTGTGGGAGTTCTCACGTTGTCGACTTATACCCCACCAGAAGCTTCTACAGAAGCCCCTCTTGAACATTAAAGATAAAATTGATTAGTCAAAGAGGCCAAATTGTTCTTCTCTCACTGGCTGGCCTTCTTAGGGAGCAATGGATACCTGCAACTATTCAACCTCATAGAGAACCGATCCGGGGCCTATAAAAAGTGCGCTTTTCGCTCTTGCGCTTCACACGTCGTTGTTACAACTTCATACTGCTGGGAATCTTCAGTGAGTTAAGGAATTGAGAGAAAGAAGCGACGATATAGGAGTGAGTAGATGATGACTTCTGGCCCACAATCAGACCCCAGTGCACCACCACGAGGGCCAGGATCGGTCCTCTTTCAGGTCAGGAATCTGGCTGGTTAGTGGGCGCGCCTCTAACCAGCTAGATTCCCTCATTGAGAGAGCTTTTTCAGTGAATGAAGTGCATGGATCTGGTCTAAGAATAACTGGAAAGAGTAGAACAACCCAAATTCTCAGAGATCGGGAACAGTTATTATGATTTCGGCGAATAATCAAAACTTATGATTCTTGACTAGCTACGGGACATTGCCGTTGAACCGAAGCCTTCAAATCTTTGGAGAGATGTCAGGTGCATGGCGTATACGAAACGGCATAGCTGGAGCCTACGGTAAGTCGTCAGCTATTGCACGATCAAGGATTTAAGTAGTGAAATGGTTTTTTACTAGAGAAAGGAATGGCTTTTTGACCACAATTTTCGGAGATTGTAGACAGCTTATGGTTTGAAGGCTGCAGGCAAACATGATGAAATGGATGGAGCTTGTCATTGCCGTAGGTGGGAGGGGGATTAGCTTGTCTCAAACTGGGATCAGCTTGCAAAGGAGGAGTGGCGGGTGGTTGTTATTTGGTTGGGCGATAGAGACAGGTAGGAGCAGTGTGAGATCGGCAGGTGCGTGACATTTTGCATTCTTACTTGTTTCTTTTTGCACTGCTTTACAGTTATTCAGAGGGAGCATTCGCACTGATCGATGGCAACCATCCAGATGCCCCCTCCCCCCTCCAGACCAAAATTGCGCTGGATGAGGGTAGAATAACGGTGTCATGTCATATTAGAGGGTCTGATACAATACTAGGAGGGAGAGGAGCCCTTCCCCTCCTCTCTCCACATTCGCAAAATTCTTTTTTTTCCTACTTTTGCACTGCTTCACAGGAATTCGAAGGAAGCATAGGCAGTAGTCGATGACAAGAAGCAGAACGTCCCAACCCTGACGATCACCGCCAGAGGGAACATAATACCAGGGTTCATTCAATACGG